CCAGGCATTGTCCTGTTTCCACTTCCGGTTTTACCACAGGAACAACTGGATTACAGAGAGGCACTCCTAAGGCACTTGGCTCGCTGTGGCTTCTGGGGACTCAGACTCCGGACTTTGCTTTTGCTTTATCCACTGACTCGTCATCTTTCTCAGCCCCCAAGAGGCTTTAACTTCTTTTCTCCTTGGCAGACTTTGCCTTTCACTTTCAACAGAATTCACATGGAGCCGCTCTGGGCAACATTTCCCATGGCCCCTTCCTTGAGTAGAATCCTTGTCCTCCTCCAGGGTTTTCAGACACTGTGCATCTCTCTCTCGGTGACATCTGTCACCCATTGTAGAGTCATTCCTAGCTGCTGGAGGGGGAGCCCCCAGAAGTCAGAGACCCAGTTTTTGCACATCTCTGACTAGAATATAGACTCCTGCAGGAGGAGGAAGAGACTGGAGAGAGGAAGGAGGCCTATTTTGTTCACCACAAGCTTGCAGATTGCATACGCATACGGTGAAGATGAGTGACAGATGACACAGAGAATGTGTGAGCATCTCTGACCACAGGCAAGAATAAACCAGCTCTGGCAGGGCGCTGATGAGGGGACTCGGTTCTCTGGTGACCCCTCCCCCACTCCTGGGTCCTCCAAAGAGTCACTTTGGGTGTCTAGAGTTGTTCACTGAGAGATACTGAGATTCTGGGTGAGGGGTGGAGAGGAGTTATTGATACTTGCTAGAGACGAGTTATATTATTCCTAGAGAACGTTCTCTACACTTCCTCAGAGGCAAAGGCCTAGCAGAATGGCTACATCCTCAACCGAGTCTTCTCTGGGGTGGAAAGAACAGTCTAGAGACTCTGCCTTGGCTTGGGGATGATGACCTGGCCTGAGAAAATCAGAAGCCACAATTCTGAGAGAAATCAGAATTTGTCAGTGGAAGAGCTAGGAAAAATAGAATATTTTTCATAGCTGGAAGGCTGTCCCCAACTAGCTAATGGTCAGCAATGTCCTGCCTTGGGTATTAAAATGATTGGCTCATGCTATCTCCCAAGATCTCAACATTCTCTATAAGCTCTTCTTTTTGGTGGCTAAGGCTACCCTGAAGACTCACACTTCCAACGTGTTCTTTGCAGAATGTAGTGAACTCATGCATATATGTTTGTTTGGTTTTTTTAATGGCGGCACAGATGGCTGAACTTTCCCCTGCCGTGACTAAGCTGGTTGGTGGTTTTGGATGATTTGGGGCAGGAGGGGGTGGGGGGAGACGATGACGGTGTATAGCAGATAACAAATATGCATTTGCATGCTTTGTCCACTAGGGGCTATAAAAAAAGTGATCTGGTTGAATCTCGGTGTGGCCATCTTCAAGCTGATTAACCTAGAAGCTAACCATCTCATCTACATTTCAACACAGGATCCAAAATTAAACCCCTGAGAAATGTTACTGGGCTTTTAATGGCTGCCCGGAAAACTTGGCCTTGGTCATATTAACTTAATAGTCATAGAAAATATAAAAACACAGTTCATAACCTAATCATAGAAAATGTAAAACCATAGTTCATACAAGACACCATTCACTAACAAGTATTTATTAAGTACATATTCTGTGATAAGCATTGTTGTACATCCTTGGGGGCACATCAGTGAAGAAAATAAATATTTTTGGTTTTCTGGGGCTTGCACACTATCTGGAGGTGGGAGAGGCAATAATATATACAAAACATAATATCTAAAATGTTGAAGGATGGTAAGTCCTGTAGAGAGAAAAAACAAACAAGATGGTAAGCGGTGCTGTATCCCACAGGGGTAGGCATTTGGAAGTGTATGGTTTTGATATGGAAGTGTCTCCCAAAAGGCTTGTGGGTTGAAGACGTGCTCCAGCCTTCGGTGCTGCTGAGACTGAACGATGTGGTTGCTGAGTTCAGAAAGGGATTAGTGTACAAGTGAGTTCACGGCTGAATGGATTACTAAGAGGTAGGGCCTACCTGAACAACAGGAAGACGGTCACAGGGTGTGTGTGTGTGTGTGTGTGTGTGTGTGTGTGTGTGTGTGTGTGTGTG